AGAAGAAGAAGAAGAAGAAGAAGAAGAAGAAGAAGAAGAAGAAGAAGAAGAAGAAGAAGAAGAAGAAGAAGAAGAAGAAGAAGAAGAAGAAAAAAAAAGAAGAAGAGGAGGAGGAACAGGAGGAGGAGGAACCGGAGGAGGAGAATGAGGAATCTCTAGTCACTCTTAATCTTTGGTTTTCAGGACGAAGAACAAGACAACAGCGAGAAGAAGTCTGCCAAGGACGCGCTACTGCTGTGGTGTCAGAGGAAGACTGCCGGGTAGGTTTTGTCTGTTTGTTTGTTGTCTGTGTCTTGTCTGTCTGTTTGTTGTCTGTCTCTGTCTTGTCTGTCTGTGTCTTGTCTGTCTGTTTGTTGTCTGTCTGTTTGTTGTCTGTCTGTGTCTTGTCTGTCTGTTTGTTGTCTGTCTGTGTCTTGTCTGTTTGTTTGTTGTCTGTCTGTGTCTTAAATTGTCAGTCTGTTTGTCGTCTGTCTGTGTCTCGTCTGTCTGTCTGCTTCTTATTTGGTCGCTTTTAAGCACAAGTGGGCTGTCCCGAAAAACGCTGTTTTGGGAAAATCTTAGGTAAAGTTTTTGCCCCTTGTTCAGTTTCTTTAAAATACCAGGAGAGTTTTCTCTATAACCAAACAAATATATTATTATGCCCACCAAGGAAACCAAACTTCTGCTATAGGTAAAGCAATGTCCACTTTTGGTGTAGGTCAAGATATCTGAAAACCCCCGAAATCTGGGTTAGCCCGCTTGTCCTTAAAAGCGACCATTTGTCTGTTTCTTCTCTGTTTCTTCTCTGTCTGTCTGTTTGTTGTCTGTCTGCTTCTTCTTTGTCTGTTTTTTCCCTGTTTCTTGTCTGTCTATGCTTCTTGTCTTTTCTGTCCTGTCTGTCCCTTTTCTGTTTCTTGTCCGTCTGTTTCTCAACACACCTTAACGAACATCTCTCCAGGTTTGCTACTGTTGTCGTCATGTTTCTTCGCCAAATGGTGAGGTGTCTGAGACGAAATTAATGGCTAGGTTCAGAGCGTCGCGTTGTATGCGGAAGAAATGAATTCGATTCGAGGGTGTGGAGTTGGGAGTTTGTTTTCCAAATTATGTACCCGTCCCTCCATCTTTCTTTATGGGGATGCTGTATTCCTTTTAGGCAGGTTGGCCCTTCCGATAGAGTCAAGGCATGGGTGGTTGGCGGGTGCTCTGGTGTGGTTTGCTCCTTCTTTCTTATCGAACATCTATCGTCCTGATCTCTCCTCATTCTGTTTTATGTTTGTTACTCTCTTGTAACTCTTCTAATTTTCGACCCTTATATGACTTTATTGTGTTGCAAGTGCCGTAAAATCCTTACTAAAAGCAAAAATGAGACGTAATGGTTAGGTTCAGAGCGTCACGTTGTATGCGGAAGAAAATAATGCGTTCAAATCGAGGGAGTAGAAGTTTTTTTTGGTCAAATTATTTCCCCGTCCGTCCATCTTTCTTTGTGGGGATGCTGTATTCCTTTTTTGGCAGGTTGGCCCTAGACAGTGGGTGGTTGGCGGGTGCTCTGGTGTGGCTTGCTCCTTCTTTCGTATCTAACATCTATCGTCCTTATCTCTCCTCCTTCTTGTTTGTGTTTGTTACTCTCTTGTAACACCTTTAATCTTCGCCACTTATATGAGCTTATTGTGTTGTAAGTGCCGTAAAACTCGAACTTAAACTAAACATAAAAAGAGAGACAAACAAACCAGACAAACGAAGAAACGAACAATTAATCTCCCTTCTCCAGTTCTATGGCGAGAACGTAAGGAGATGAATCAATAGTCAATAGAGCGGCGTGAGTGAGTAGAGTGTCTGTCGTGTCTCTATCTGTGGTGAGTGAGGAACTCTGGGAAGAGAAGGCGTCATCAATGATGCATGACCGCTGGCTAGTACCGTCCTGGGCCGCTGCCTTCTTTTGTCTCTGGTCACGGTTGGAGGAGGAGGAGAGAGAGACAGAGAGACAGAGAGACAGAGTCGAAGAAATAAAGAGGGATATTGTTGCTATAATGTCTATTGTGAAATACAGCTCCGAGATTTTACGATCATTTATTTAGTGTGATTTTTTTCTCTCTCAGTGGTTGTAAAATAAATATTCTTCTGTATGTGTTGGGATTATTATTATTAGCTTAACTCACTGACACATTCGATGACTTACTTAACGATCATTGGCTGTGCGTATTTCCTTCCAGTGGTTGTTCATTGTCACTCTGAGTGTGTTGTTGAGATTCACTGTGTCATGTTCGGACGTACTCAATGACGTACTCACGGATTTACTCAATGACGTAATCACGGACGTACTCAATGACTTACTCACGGATTTACTCAATGACGTACTCCAATGACTTACTCTGTGGTTATTGTACTGTGTATTTCCTTATAGTGGTTGTCTAATGTTCCTCTGAGTGTGTTGAGATGCACTGTGTCATGTACGGACGTACTCAATGACGTAATCATTTCGCATTCAATGACTTACTCTGTGATTATTGTACTGTGTAGTTCCTTATAGTGGTTGTAAGATGTTCCCCTGCTGGATGTGAGTGAGCGGATCTATTATTTCGCTACCTCAGAATTACTAAGTGCTGTCTGACTCTTCTGGCTGTTTTGAGTTCCTAAGATTTTATTGAAGTCAGAAACCAATAATAAATTAATTTCTATTTGCTCTATCAAAATCGTAAAAGTGTTCGGAGTCGTCTTCAAGATATTCTGAGGTAGCGATTTATTATGTGGGATACAGAAATACTCACTCAAGGATTGATATTTTGTGGGAGGTGGAAAACCTTTGTCACGAAAGGTCTTTGTCACAATAGGTCTGTGTCTCAATTTGTCTTGTGTTTAATGTTATCAGGTCAGGAGATCTGGACGAGAACTGAGATTTAAGAAAGGTCTGGATATCTGGACAAGAACTGAGATTTAAGAAAGACGTTCGTAAAAAAGGGGACTGCTCACGAGTGACTTTTCTGGTTAGCTGTTTCTTTTCAAGATGTTTCCGTGGCTAGCTGTTTCTTTTCAAGGTGTATCTGTGGTGTAGCGTTTAATGCTTATGATAAGAAAAGTTAGGGTACTTCCACTTCCGGCGTACTGTGTCTAGTATTTTCCAAACCGTGACGCAATCTTTGTCGTTGAGGTGATATTGAGACATGGAGCCTGTATATAGACATTACAGAAGGTGGGTAGAACTTGCTGTGCCTCTATGCTGGAATGCATGCTTCCGAATCTGTCCCTGCGGTTTTATGAAAAAATTATTTTTTTTAAATCTGAAATTATGCAAACTGAGCCCAAAATTTGAAATTATGCGATTCTGTTCATTTTAACAAAGAATGATAAAGGAATATAATTAGAAATTATGAAAAAAAAAAATGTCATCAACTTTTGCTAAATTATGCGGGGTTCCGAATATGGAATGCTTACTTCCAGAAAGTATTATACTTCCATTATTATAATATAATGTGTATTTTAACAAAATTGAATGCGTAATTCCAAATGATGGAACGCATTCTTTGGTCCAAAGTCAAACAAGTGGGTGGTTGGTGGTTGCTCTGGTGTGGTTTGCTTTTTCTTTCGTATGAAACATCTATCATCCTGATCTCTCCTCCTTTTTTGTTTTTGTTACTCTCTTGTAACACCTCTAATCTTCTGGCGCTCATATGACCCTGTGCAGTTGCGAGCGCCGTAAAACCTCTATTAAAACTAACTATGTCCCCTCCTTTTTTCTGTTTGTTACTCTCTTGTATAATGTAACACAGAATCTATTCTTCGGCACTTATATGACCTTATTGTGTTGCAAGTGCCGTAAAATTCTTACTAAAACTAAACCAAAAACTCTTTCCCTGTGACAGATACCCGGGTGTGAACATCACCAACTTCACCAACAGCTGGAGGAATGGGCTGGGCTTCAACGCTCTCATACACGCTCACAGGTGAGAAAGATCTTCTGTTCTCTCCTTTCCTTCCTTCCCCTCCACTCTTCTCCCCTCTCTCCCCCTCTCTCCCCCCTATCCCCCTCTCTCTCTCTCTCT